GTGTTACATTGTACAGTGGCATTAAGTGCCGAAATTTGCACCTCTGCCTACCCCTTCGGGGGTAAAAAGGTGTAATGTTTTGTTTCAATGTAATATGGATCTCAAAGCTTTGTAATCCTTTTTATCTCGGAAAAAATTGATATTCTCGACGGAAAACGAAATTATTGGTATAGATGGCACTGTGTGTATTGGTATATGTCACATAGGCTACTTTTTATCCTTTTGTGACGCGAGCGAAGCCGCGGGTAAAAGCTAGTCTTTATATATAAAAGAAAATCGTGTTAGTTACACTATTTATAACTCAAGAAGGCTAAATCGATTTAGATGAAATATGCTGAGGATGTAGCTTAGGATCAGGAGACGGACATATAGGGTACATTTTATGCAAGACTTACTTTTATTTTACTTTTTACCGAAAATCACGAATGGGAACGGCAAAAACAGGATTGCGCGTACGAAGCTAGTAAAGTATAAAATTACGAAATAATGTGTTTAAAAATGATAATGTTGGGTACTAAGATTGTGTAGTTTATAATTGTATGGTAGAGTAATTTAAGCATAAAGGAAAATGTATATTATTATGAATGGATTATGAACCTTGTTCCTTTAGAAATAACGTACACAATTAACATATGATGATATGTTTCGAAATGACGATGTTAGCTAATAATGCCCATTCCGTATATGTACTCACTGGCTTCTGTTTCTCTGCGGTCGATTTCGTCGTATATGTCCATAACAAGCTCTTCAAATAGATGATTTGGAAGCTGGAAACAAACAAAACTTATGTGCAAAACTATTTAACTACCGGCGTTAAGTGGCTGTTATGTAAAACGGGTTTAAAAGATTTTCGTTAATTTTAGGAGCATTAAAACAGTATTAAGGGTGATTATAGCAAATCGATTGAAAAAAGTAATCTATATTACTGTGAAAAACAGTTAATAATTGTCTATAGTGTACAGCCGTGCAGCGTCAGATTCTGTTACTAGTACTTTATATCAAAAATAGAGCTTTTCAGAGATAAAAGTCTTAGTGTGGGCAAGAGAAGCTCTTCAGTAGCACCTGCATCTACAATAGACATAAGACAAAGATAAATTTTACACAAGTGCACTTACCAACTGCAGCTTGCCCCTCGCGGCCTTCGCGACATCAGTCATCTCATGCGTGTCGTGCGCCCGTGGCACTATGTAGTGTCTCCCGGACGCATGGTCTGGTTTCTCACCCGTCAGGAAGTATATCATACGGTCGGTAGCCTCATACACTAGTTCTGTCATACGATCTGCTAGCTCTGTGTGACCGCCCTGCCTGGAGGAGTTATTAAAGTTAATATTATTGTTGGTAGAAAAACTGTTGTTATTTAAATGATTTAGTCACGCAAACTGTTCCTTATTGAAAATCACGACCATCGTCTAGAGTGAATACATATTGTTGGACTAACTCGAGTGATAGTCACCTCGTAGGTTCAATATCGTGGTCGGATTAAAAGGTCAGTTTTACTTCCTACCGATAGGAAAACGTTTACTGATGTATGGTGATAAGGATATTGCATAGGACATAAAACTATCTCAGCTTAATTGTAAACATTCAAGCAACACCTTTTTAACCGACTTAGGAGGACGTTATTTACATTAAATTACTACGCGATGACGATTAGAACTGGTGTTGAAACTTAGTAAAAACTCCTAGGGCATTAATAAGGGTTACATTATTATTTATATAGATATTTCCATATTATTTCATTATATAAGTACCTATTATTATTATAAATTTATTATTGAGCAGTTTTATTGTTTGCTTAATCTTTTGAATACGTGACATACTCAGGTAGTTCTACGATAAATAAAATTGAAAACATATATACATATATATATTAAATACTAGTATATCACTAACAAATAAAACCAATGTGTTCACCACTAAAAATATCGAGGATTTCCTGCATTCTCAATATCTACTTTCAAATGCAATAACTATAGTCTATGTTTGCTCAAAAATTATCTAATATTAACTTAATATGCACTTTAAACATTTCGAAAAATATCTCACTTCCATTTACAATGTTTCAGTAGGAGTTATACAGCTTGAAAGACCTTGTGTCTACCATATTTACAAACAAAACTAAAGGTTACCGCCATTCTGCAGTCTATGTCTAGAATAATACGTAGGAAGATTAACGACCTCCAAAATAGTAAGCACCTGCTTTGTGTTACTTTGAAGATCAGACTTAACCTTCATCATGTAACTATTAAAGATGGCGATCATATTATGATGATTTAATAAACGGTTTATGAATTTTATTTATTTTGTTGTATTGGCTACTTGGCGCGGATTTCATTGTAGATGAGATTTGTTATTCTTTCACACAAATAAATTACTGAATTGATTTGATACAATATAGCACAGTGAAAGATTTATACATATGCTGGAAGTGTTGGAACATAGGTAACTAGTTAAACTGTCAAACACCAAGCGGTCACCGGTGACCGCAATCTATTGTTCTATAATTGTATCTACAAAACCGGTACTCGACGAGTTAAATAATTATATGTTAACGCAAATGAAGACATGGCACAACTAGTACACTGTCGAGTATTTGAGATCAAGTAAGAACTTGCAAAGTTAAACTAAATTCAGCAAGTTTCTGTTAAGTTTATACCTGGCGCAGTCAGCAGGCATGTTCCCAGAGTGGTCGCGTGCAGTGGGCTCAGCTCCCCAAGCTACCAGTAACTCAGCCTGGGCTGGTTGACCAGCTCGACAGGCCACATGGAGACAAGTTGTACCCTTTTCCTGTAGGACAATAATAATAAATTAAGTGCTCAATTTAGAAGGAATTGAACTTGAGGTTGAGTGCTCCCTGAAGAAAATAATGAAGGCTTTCCACTAGGTACAATATATGCATAATAATATATATAATTTTTCATGCCATATGGATAAATGAATATTTTTTTAATCACAGAAATACATTTGTTACATTTTACAATGGTATAATGTGCACCTCTGCCTACCCTTTCGGGGATAAAAGGCGTGATGTTATGTTGTCACAGAAATATTGCTGTGACTAACAAAATATGATAAAACCTAGCAGAATGTTTTGTTTGTTTAAATGAAGTACTTATTAATGTTATTTAAAATGTAACAATTAAGTAAACTCATACATAAAATTAAGGAAGGAAAATTGAACTCTCCTAATAAATAATGCATGTTTCATGTCATTTATTCAGTAAATAAAACCACACTTTTACATAACATATTATAAAACCTAGATTAAACATACAGACAAAACAAAAAAAATTAGGTCTTAGTTAGAATAGGGTAGACGACTAATTTTTATTTTAATGTCCGTCTGGTAGATTATTTAAAAACATTAGACACGTATTTTTTATTTTCTTACGGAAACGAATAGTTTCGAAGATATATTGATTTGAAATGTCGCGTGACGTCACTTCTCAGTACATTTTATACTAAGAAATGACGTTTTAGCCCCCACTCCTAAACTTTGATTCGTTTTATCTAAGTATTGTTTTATTATACAACAAAATAAAAAAATACGTGTCTAATATTTTTTTATTACCTAAGTTATGGACTAATTATATTTTTAATTTTCATACCCTGTCATCATTCCCATTATTTTTTTATTTTGTTGAAGGCTGCTTTACTCGGTTGTAGGAAAAGCTGTCAAGTTAAAGTGTCCTTGCTACATTTAACACTAACTGCCAAGTTATTCCAGTAGCCTCAGGCACCAGTGACTGACATGGCGCTCTAAGGGTTAATACCTAAGACAGGATAGATCTATAATAACTTAGTACTAACCTGATTGTAGTAGTTAGGATCAGCTCCTTGTGCCAAAAGCCTCATTGCTGTGTCTAATGAGGAGCTCCTGACAGCACTGTGCAACTGTCTGCCAAGCTCACTAGGTGGCTCATCTCTTCTAGCTCTCAGCACATATGCCAGCCTTAAGTGCTTTGCAAGAATGAACTCTGACTTTACAGGGCTAAAAGATAAAATTGTTAAATTAGGTCTTGTAAGGGTTGTTAAACTTATTATGTGGCCTCATTTAGTCTGTTTTGTAGCTTAGGGAACATGCATTCAGTTGTTTACAATGATAAATTAAATTATTTATTATAATTGTTCCATTTCCAAGTCAAAGATAATTGAGCAAATCTTCATTTAGGTATCAAGACTTCATTTGTTGACATAGTTTTGTTAGGGAGATAGCTTATCAGATAATTGTGATTGATGTTATTATTGTCAAGTCAAGCAATATTGTTCTTACTGTAATGGGTCTTTAGGTTGAGGTTTCTTGCGAAGGTGTTTTGGGGCTGAAGTGTCCAGTAAGGAATGTTCCCAGATGCAGTTCACGTTCTGAGCTGTCAGTGCTTGCACCATCTGAATAGTATCACACACTCAAAGAATACAATTTTAAAAGACACATAATTTAATATTACCATTCTTCAGTATTATTCTATCATAAATTTATCCTTTATATTATTTCACTAGTTGCAAGAGTTACTAAATATAGACTACACAGTCAGAAGCTTGTTGTTAAGCTCATTGTTCTATTAAACACATTATAATCCAGATGACTAAGCACTGAATTAAAACAATCATCTATTAATAAAATCTGTTAAAGTAATTAGGCCAATGGATTCTTGCGTTTTTCAAGATGACACTGAGGATAAGTAAAATTAATGAATACGTACAGCTAACAGTGACGGTGGCCAGGACCCCTGACGCAGGGATTTAACATGGGAGATGTGTCTTCCCATACTACGGTGAACACTACAGCATTCAGCACACAGCAGCAGCCCACGGTTTATCGAAGCCCATGACGGATCTACGGCCAACAAACCACTTAGAAACCACTTCACAAATTAGTACCGGAACAATTAAATCCAAATCTAAAACTAGAACATCGCCCTGACCTGATGCACCGCAATCCGCACACACTTCCACCGAAGAGCGGTGCTTAGACCGCGATATGATCATTGTAGATACTCTTATGGAAGACTAATTAACAAAATTAATACTCCGTGCGTCTGAGTAAACTTATTTAGATAAATCGAAGAGCAGGTTTTCGATACAAAAATAAATCATTTTACGAAACGTCAATCAAAATAAATTGATGCCACAGATTGACAAATTTCCACTGCTGCCAACCTTCCCCTTTTTGTGCCAACCGCAACCGCATCAAACTATTAATTCAATATAATGTCAACTATACCATAGACATTAGTTGAACTCATAAAAAGTAAAAGATGTCTATGAACTTGACGGTACACGTCATTGATTGGTTTTGGTTTAGTTGACTGACATTTTGTGAATTTTTGAGCCTGGTGGCCGAAATAAAAATGAAGCTATTATTGGTTTTAGGAGTTATTGCTAACCTTTCGTTAGCTTTAGCTGACCAAGAAACTCTAGTCCTAGTTGATAATCTTAATATAAGAGAAACACACTCCCAGTTCTTTAAATCTTTGCAAGGTTAGTAGAAGTGCTATGTGGCGCCGGTATTTTATTATCATTTCATGTATAGCTAATTAATTACTGAAAACATGATAATATTACCTATAGGACTTATTTTCTTACTCTTATCATTTGATATTTATTCATTATAGATAGGGGTTACACCCTGACGTACAAGTTAGCGGATGACCCAAACCTATTGCTATCTAAGTATGGAGAGTACTTGTACAAGAATCTGATTGTATTCGCCCCTTCGGTGCTGGAGTTTGGAGGCCAAATCGATACTGAGGCTATCACGAAGTTCATTGACGATGGCGGTAACCTTCTCATGGCTGGCAACGCAGCCGCCGGCGACGTATACAGAGAAATTGCTTCCGAATGTGGATTTGAGGTAAATTTTAGACTCTTATAAATTTAATTTCCCATTGTCAATAGAAGAAAATGAAAGCTCTGTATCTGTGCTCTGCCTGGAAAATAAAAATTTACAGTAAAATGTTACTGCCCAATCCAGAAACTAAAAGCAAACACTTCTAACTAATTGGAAACTATCTATTATTTGCATACAAATTTTACCTATTAGATTCTCATTGGATATATTATGAATTATTAATGTTCTCTGTACAGATGGATGAAGAATCAGCAGCAGTTATTGACCACTTCAACTATGATGTGTCTGATGATGGTGAACACACAAGGATTGTGGTCTCTCCCAAGAACCTGATCTCTTCCCCAACCATTGTGGGAGAACAGAACACCCAGCCCTTGTTGTTTGAAGGCACTGGTCTGATTTTGGACAAGGATAACACTCTGGTTCTACCTATTCTGACTGCTGACTCAACAGCTTACAGCTACAACCCTAAAAGCCAGGTATGAAGTTGTTGCCGGATTAATCTTAACTTTAAGTTTACCTTACAGTTGTCCCAACACCAGATACTTTTAGATTGAGTTACTAGGATTATTTTTTTTTAACAGTATAAATGGAAAAGCATCTTTGATTTATCTTTGATCTTTGATTGGCATTAAGATAGCAACATTAGTACATGTTCTATTAGTGAATGTTGTGATTAATAATTTTGATTTTCCCAGGTTAAGGAGTATCCTCATGCAGTAGGCCGTAAAACTGTGCTGATTGCCGCCCTGCAAGCCAGGAACAATGCTCGCATTGTGTTCAGTGGCTCTCTCTTCTTCTTCTCTGATGAGGCCTTTAACTCTGGTGTTGCTAAAGTTCATGTAAGTTTCACAATCGTTTTACAAACTGTAGTTCCACTTGACTCTTGTTATATATACATATACCTACAGGTATATGTGTAAATCAATACTACAAGCTGAATTTTATCTACTTTCCAGTGTCTGTTTAAGCTGAACTTTTCATTTTTAAATGGCAGCCTTGAGCTAAAGAATTACTGGTTAGTTATAATAAAATTGAAATTAGAAATAATTATCTGTTTTTACATTATGTTTATCTGATTTTCAGGGTGACAAAGTGAGTGCAGCCCAATCAGGCAACAAAGCCCTGTCGGTGCGCCTTAGCCAATGGGCGTTCGGAGAACGCGGCCGTCTGCGCGTGCGCAATGTCGACCACCACCGCGAGGGAGAGAAGGAGTCCTCTAACACTTATACTATCACAGACACTGTTGTAAGTATTTCTAAAATGATCATTGAATTCGGATCTCATGTTTGCTTAAGAGAAAGGTTGACGACAACACCTGGTGAATCAGAAGCTTAAATAACCGCCTGTGTTGCTTTTCTAAACTTTTTAATTAATAACAATAACAGATGTTGTAACTTTTAAATACTCCATAATTTGTACTTGGTATTTTTTTTCTCTGCCTTTTGACACCTTTTCATCAACTACAGGTATACAGGATTGAAATTGAAGAGCTGAAGAATGGCAAATGGCAGCCATTTGATGCCAACGATGTCCAGCTGGAGTTTGTGCGCATTGATCCCTTCATCCGCACAACTCTAAAGAAGAAACCCAACGGTGTCTATGAGGCCATATTCAAGGTCCCTGATGTTTGGGGAGTCTACCAGTTCAAGGTTGATTACGACAGAATCGGATACACAAGACTTTACCATGCTACACAGGTCAGTATATTAGAATGTACAATAGGATAGATATTTTGATTTGATAAAAAAAACTAACTACAAATTGAGTAATTTTATTTCCTTAAAATTTAATACAGAGTTTATTGAAGATTTTAATAATGTCATTTTAAGTGAAATTTTTGTTATGAACTATTATTATACTATTACATGTTATGTATATTGCAGGTGTCAGTACGTCCTCTGCAACACACCCAGTATGAGCGGTTCATCCCAAGCGCGTACCCCTACTACGTAAGCGCATTCTCCATGATGGTGGGCTTATTCCTCTTCTCCTTTGTATTTCTATACTACAAGGACGACACCAAGACTAAGAGCGAGTAATCTACAACTCTCCGATTTAGTTATAAGTTTTATTCACAGTCACAGTGAAAATGTGGGCACTAGGATGAATGGAAGTGTGCAATAGATTCTGAAATTATGATTTCAATAAATTTTTCTTAATTATATGATTGTTTTATTGTATTTTATTATTAAGTTTACATTACCTAACAATCAAAGTTAATAGCAGAGATGTCTAGACGTTATGAAGTCTACACTGCATATACTGCATCAGTATAACAGAAATGGTATTGCATTTATAGAAAAAAATCGGGATTTCATCAAAAACTAATAAATCCTTTATGAGTAAATGCAATACTTTAAAAATGAAATAATCGTGAAATCGCACACTCGCTGAGCTTACCGAGCTTCCGTGCAATAATGGCAACACTAGCACAAAAAATGTATGAGATTATATAATTAATTTCCAAAAATAATTGATTGCATATAATATTCAATAAATTGAGTTAAGTTTTGCGCTATAAGTCAAAGGACAACTCGCTTTCGAAATGTGTATACGAAAATGGATCTCGTTTACATAATCTTACCTGAACGCTTCCATAAAATTAACTGACATTCCAACGGGTGGTTCTCGAACGCAACGGTTTTAAAATGGCAATGGCATGCATGTCATACATGGCTTTTGTAAAATTAATTATAGTAAAAATGGCATAATTTTCTATTACAACGACAAATATACTTCATGACTGATCATATGAATTTATAACCGTGCCACGCAATCTGTAACTTTTAGTGAAAAAAGTGTATTTAGCGCGTATTCAATGTGATTCGTGTAGGCAGTGAATTGGTGTCGCCGTATTTCTTAAAATATTGCAATTTTTTTACGTTTCTTTTGCGCTTCGGAGTTGATTAGCATAATCGTGAGATCGTGTCCGGACTGATGACCGATAAGTAGGTGATAGTGAGCGTTGCAGTGATGTGTTTACATCTGTAACTGTCCCAGTAAGTATGCAATGATGTCATTGTAGTGACTACCATAAAAAACTGTGTTGGCTTTGTGCCCACCCGTTTTCCTGGTGATCGTGACTCTAATACGATTTTGGGGAAACAAGCACGCGGGATAAGCGCAATGAACCCCTTAGGTTATAGACAACCTGTTTCTAAATTTATGTTAATTAATTTGTGACTGGTCAGCCAGTGGCTGCTCTGTTTATGAATATTGGATCCTAAATACGGTGCACGTCGATTGTTTTATATGAAATATTACATTATGTGTCTGATGAGTGTAACAATATTTATAAAATTCTGTCAACACAGTAGGGTTTCCATATAAATAAAATTAGGTAAGGTATTTCATTAAGTCAGTGGTTACAGTGCATGTGTTACCTGTCTCTAGTGTTATTCACACAAATGTATTGTTCCATTGTGTCTGCACATTAAACTCGCCCTGTAAGTATATTTGTAAACACATTAATCTTACCAGTAAGTACAATGTCATATTAATTGATGCCCAATATTACAAATTATAGTTGCTATTTGTATTTACAGTAAGCATTTGGATCGAATAAACATAAACCTGCATTAATTTCACACCAAAATAATAATAAACTTTTACTTTATTACTTCTTTTGGAAAATCAGAAAATAGTAATAATCATATGCATATTTGTCAATAAAGCTGTTGTTCTTTTTTTTATTTTAGTTAAAATGTAACACCTACACCCAAATACTGGAACGCTACTCAATTATAAATTGTACTTAAATATTATGGTATCTCTGCCATTTTACAACGAATTTATAGTGACAAAACTATATTTAAGCTCGACTTAAAATTGAGGAACCCTTTTAGTATTTGGGCGCTAAATATCTTCATAGAAAGTTAAAAACCTAAAACAAGTACTTCAACTTAGATACACTCTAATATGTTATGATAACAAAACTACTATTCTTTGTTACCAATGTTTCATTACATTATCAACACAAAAAACAAAGCAATAAAATAAACATACAATGTTTTAGAGCACAGAGGTTCTTGTAAGAAGGTATTAATGAGTAATGAAATTTAAAACAGTAGCGTAACAATAGTTGTCAAATGATAACCTTGTTGGAGTAAATGATAAAGTGCATCTGACACATTGGTGTCGCCTCCATACATTAATCCAAGGTCACACAACATGCAACACACATTGGCTTATCACTTGCGTACCATTACAAATTAATTTAATATGTTATTGTACATAAAAATTGGTCGTGCTTGTTTTTCTTGTAATAAGTAGGCTAAGAACTTAATTTTTTTAGTTAATTTTCAAT